CATAAGCTTGGAGTGATATGTCTATTTTATAACTGCAAAGGATTAGTAATTATAATTACAGGAATAACAGGAAGACTCCCTGAAGTAAAAAAAAAAACAAAAAAACAAAACATACAGTTGAGTGAATGAGCAAGAGACATGAACAGACATTTCAAAGAAAAACTACAGATAACTCACACATGAAAAGATTCTCAAGTCCATGAGTAAACAGAGAAATCGAACTTTAAAATGACAATACCACGTGCTGTCAAGGATGTGGAACATGGGCCACTCGCAGTCACTGGTGGTATAAATATAAATTCGGACAACCACTTTGGAAAGCTGTTTGGTCATTAATTATCCAGTAAGGTTGAAAATTCCACATCCAAAGAACCAGCAACTCCACTCTTACAGTATCCTACGAGATCCTAAAAAGATTCTTGCACATGTGCATCAAGGATCATGTACAAGAATATTTAGAGCATTATTTATAATTGCAAAAGAACTTAAAAACAAATGAAATGTCAATTGTTAGGAGACAGATAAACTGGCACATTCACATAATGGAGCACCATATTGCAGCAACTGTACCAAGCACCATACACCAGCATGATACTAATGAAGTCATCGAAGAACGCATGCAATGTCTAAGATTCCATTTACCTAGTTTGAATGTATGCAAAACTACAGCACTTCCGGTGATACTGATGAGACAATAATGGACAATTCCCCTATGCAGAAAACAAGTATAAAACTGGACAAAATGGCCAAAAAAAAATAATTTCAGGATGCTGGAAACTGTCCAAAGGCAAACAATAGATTGCTAAGTATTTATTTCTGAAAAACTACTAAACCTGATGGTGACAAAAGTGGCAGTCCATGGATCCCTTTCCCGGGGCAGCTGCCATCCCTGCTCCACCGCCAGCATGGTAGGCAAAAACTGTATCTTCACCATCAAGGTACGAGCACGAACAAGGAGCTTTGCTAGTCTGAGGTTGTAGCTCTTGCTTAGAGTGAGCAGCAAACCAGTCAGGGATTTAACAAGGAGATTCTTAAAATGAGAGCGCCACACTCAGGCTTCAGGTAAATTCTCTATATATTCTTGGGTGACTATTAAAATATGCACATACAAAGAGGACACAAGTGTGCCTGATTAACCCAAGGTCAAAGAAAAAAAATCACAAAGGAAATTAAAATTTATGAGGTACACAAACATTAAAACTCAACATAAAAAACTTATGAGACACAGTAAAGCAATGCTTAGAGGGAAATTTATAGCTTTAAATGTTTATACCAGGAAGGAAGAAAGGTCTAGAGTCAATAGTCTCAGCTTCAACTTTAAGGAGGGACTCCCCTGGTGGTCCAATGGCTAAGACTAAGAACTCACAATGCAGGGGGCCTGGGTTCGCTCCCTGGTGAGGGAACTAGATCCCACATGTCACAATTAAGAGTACTATGCCACAACAAAGATCAAAGATCCTGTGTGCTGCAACTAAAACCTGGTGCAGCCAAAATAAACAAACAGATATTTTAAAAAAGGACAGAAACTAAAAAAAGAAAAAGAAAAGCAAACCAAACCCAAAAAAAGTGGAAGGAAGAAAATAATAAAGATCAGAGTAGAAATCAATGAAACAGGTAACAGAAAAAGAGTGGCAAAAATAAATCAATGAACTCCCAATACTGGTTCCTTACAAAAGAACAAAAATTGATTAAACCAGTAGCTAGATTAACCAAGAAACAAAAAAACAAGATCCAAAAAACCCTATCAGGAATGAAAGGGACATCACTACAGAACCTACAGAAATTAAAAGGATCATAAGGGAATACTATGAACAACTTTATGACAATACTTTAGACAACTTTGATAAAGTGAACAAATTCCTGGAAAGACACAAATGAACAAAACCAACTTGAGAAGGAATAGAAAACTTAAAATATATCAGGTAAAGAAAATGGAGGGCTCCCCTGGTGGTCCAGTGGTAAAGACTCCAAGCTCTTAATGTAGGGGCCTGGGTTCGATCCCTGGTCAGGGAACTAGATCCCACAAGCAGCAACTAAAAATCCTATGTGCTACAACTAAGACCCGGAGCAGCCAAATAAATAAATAAAAATAAGTATATTTTAAAAAAAGAAAATGGATTTAGTAATTAAAAGCCTTCCCACAATAAATAACAATGTGATATGTTGAATTGGATCTTGGAACAGAAAAACCAGAAATGGAATAAAGTCTGGAGTTTAGATAAAAAGAAAGTACCAATGTTTGTTTCTCAGTTTTGACCAATATATACCATGGTAACATTAACATGAGAAGAAACTGGTGACAGGTATGCAGGAACTGTCTATTACCTTTGCAACTTTTCCACAAACCTAAAATGATTTCAAATTAAAAACTTATTTATAAAAAAGCTTTCCATGAAAAGTCCAAGCCAAGATGGTCTCATTGCTGAATTTATCAGCATTTAAGGAAGAAATAATACCATCCCACACAACTCAGAGGAAGGAACACTTCCCAACTCATCTTGTAAGGCCAATATTACCTTGATGCTATAGCCAAAGACATCACTACAAAATGACAAACAGCCCTCAAATGTATGTGCAAGAATTGTTAAAACATTTGCAAATCCAATACAACAACATATCAAAAGGATTGCACACTAAGACAAGGTGTGGGGGCAGGGATGAGAGATTTATTCCAGAAACAAAAGATTGGTTAATATTCAAAAATAATTACTGTAATACATTGTTAATAGGATAAATGATAAGAGCCATATGATCATCTGAGGACAATACAGAAAAAGGAGCCAACAAAATCTAAAATTGAATCCAGTTATGATAAAAGCTTTCAGGAAAATCGGAATAGAAGCAACTTCCATCAATCTGATAAAGGATACTTACAACGTACACCATAATTACTATATAAAGATAAAATGTTTTCCTGCCAAAATCAGGAATAAGAAAAGGATGTCTGCTCTCAAAACTTTTTTTCAGCATCACAATGGAGGTTCTAGCAAGCATAATAAAACAAGGGGGGGGGGGGGGGAAAGGACATCTAGATTAGAAAGGAAGAAGTAAAATGACTATTTGCAGAAAGCATGATCTAATATATAGAAAGTTCTAAGGGAGCCATAAAAAACTTCCAGAAAATTGATAAGCTGATGAGAAAATTTGGACTATATATGAAATACAAATGAATTTGGAGGATTTTCACAAAGTGATTTTAATACTTACTGTCAACCTACAGTAATTAAGACAGTGTGGTGCTGGTAAAAAATAAACTTTTTTTTAAAAAATAAACATTTAGATCAAGTGAAGTGAAGTCACTCAGTCGTGTTCGACTCTTTGCAACCCCATGGACTGTAGCCTAACAGGCTCCTCCGTCCATGGGATTTCCCAGGCAAGAATACTGGAGTGGGTCGCCATTTCCTTCTCCAGGAGATCTTCCCAACCCAGGGACTAAACCCGGGTCTCCCACATTGTAGGCAGACACTTTACCATCTGAGCCATCAGGGAAATGTGACCCTCAAATATATGGTCAGCTGACTTTCAACAAGCATCCTGAAAGGATAGTCTTTTCAACAAGTGGTGGTGAAACAACTAGATAGCCATTAAGTGAAACAAATCAACCAACTACCCTCAATCCTTACTTTAAGAATTTTTATTCTTCAAAAGACGTCATTAAGAAAATGAAAAGGCCACATCTGGGAGAAAATGTTTATAAAATAGACCTAATAAATGAATAGTACTTAAAGTACAATAGGTCAGAAGACTTATATATATGGACTTAGAAAAGTCAACAGTAAAAAGACAACTAATTTTTTCAAAAAGGCAAAATGATCTGAACAGATAGTTGCCTAAAGTACATAAATAAATGGAAAATAAGTGTGAAAAGATGCTCAATGTCTTTAGAAACATACAAACCACAATCACAATGTGAGGGAGTCCCCCAGTGGTCTAATGGTTAGGATTCCGGGCTATCACTGCTGTGGCCCAAGATCCTGCACTGAATGATACAGCCACACACCCACTAGAATGGCTAAATGACTGACAATACCAATCATTGACAAGGATGTCTCCCATACTTTGCTAGCAGGAATGTAAAATGATACAGTCACTTTGGAAAACACAACAGTTTCAGTTTCTTCAAAACTCATACATTTACCTTAAGACCTAGCAATTCTACTCTTGGGTGTGATATCCAAAAGACATGAAACAAAACATGGACATTAAAACTTCCACACAAATGTTCATAGCAACATTATTCATAATGGCTCCAAACTGGAAACAACCCAAATGTTTATCAACTGAGGAATGGATAAAAACATGTGGATATCCATACAGTGGAATCTTATTCAACAAAAAAGGAACAAACTACTGATAAATGTAACAGGGATGAACCTCAAACACATTATGTTAAATGACAGAAGGTAGACATAATAGATGACATACTGTGACCCTACGTAATAGGAAATTTCTAGAACACGCAAAAACTTCACAGAGAAAGCAAGCAGATCAGTGGTTGCCAGGGGGTGACAATGCAGACTAATGACAAACATGCATGAGGGAAATTTCTGGGGTGATGCAAGAGTTCTAAAACTGGATTGGGGTGAAGACTGCCGTACTATAAAATTATTCACTAAAACTCAACTTGTACACTTAAAGAGGGTGAATTTTACAGTATGTAAATTATATCTTAAAAATTGTTAAATACACAAAACCAAACAATCTGCTTTGAGATACATATATACATATGTTGAATGCCATCTATTAAAAAAAGCAAGGAAATTTAGAATACAGATTATACAGAATGGGGAAAGGAGAATAATTAAATCAGGAAGTAGCAGGTAGGGAAGATCCATGACACTAATAATCTTCTATTTTTTTTTTTCTGTAACAGACAAGTCCAACAGTTAGGAATATGAAGTTAGTGAGACTGGTTTCTCCTCTCTTATCTTCTATCTGATCATCTTCCCATGTTTCAGTTTCAATCCTGAGGCTTTCCAGTCCATAGCCTCATCTCTTACCTGAATCAATACTGAGGACATCATCGTCTTCATCAGGAATCTCAATTATTTCTGTAGGCCGGGAAGCTTCATCTTCAGAGCTGCTGTCCCGGTATTGTAGTCCCAGTTTGGAATAAAAGTCCTTCACCAAAGACTCACAGTTAGTCACTGCCCTAATATTGGAACACATGTAGAAAAGGTCAAAGCCAGCAGAAGCAGGGGGAAAAGCCACTATTATTTATATATATTTAACTATATACTGACCCCTATTTAAACAGACCATATTCCAAAGTGCCTCTGTTTTGAATTTAAGAGGCTTATCCCATAGAAAAATATTTAAATTGTGGTTTCTTGAAAAATCCAAAGTAAGTTCAAAGCATGGTCCTTTCAACTTCATTATTTACCTTTTGTTATTTGAAAATACATCCTAAGTGACAAGTAGGGCACAAGAAACAACTCTTCTGGGGGTTTAGAGTAGAAATACCGTTCAATGAACTTGTTAAAGCTTCACAGTTACATAAAACAGCAAATCTTCACAATATGCACTCCCTAGATGATTCTAGTAAGAAAACAAAACAACTGTTCTGAAGTAAGAGTGTAGGATAAAGAAGCGGAAGGGACCCAAGACTTGGGACTCCCCTACTGCTGATCATATATTAACTACTGATAGATGAACACTATATGATGACCATGCAGTCAGATTCTGGTCCTTAACCTTTGAGGAAGAGCAAGGTTCTACATGCCTGTACCTTCTAAAGTACAATGTCATGAACAATTTTTAAAATGTCTGCCAATGGGCAGATTTACTCCTATTTCCTATGTGGTTCTTACCTGGATGCATCATCAAAGAGTTGGTCAACATGGGCCACCTCAGATTCCTTCTGTATTACCCAAGTCTCCAACTCTGCTAGTTGCTTCTTGCGCTGCTGTACACAGTCCATCTTTTCCAGTTCTTCATCAATGAACTGTCGAAGCTCCTCCATTGAGATACCCAGCTCCTCAACCACGGACTGTTGCAGCTCTGCAATTTCTTCAGACTCCACTGCTGCTGTTGCTGCTGCCAAACCAATGCACCCAGGGAGGGAGGACATACTGCTGTCCTCTACATGGAGCAGGAAACTAAAATTACTTTTGGAGTGATCATAACCACAAGAGAGAATTTCAGTCCCCTAATAAAACTCATTCCTACTCGGCTACTTGATATTCAGATATATGTAGTTAGGTTTGATTCCATGTCCACCCACCCTCCCCACCCCCACCAATCCCCCAGTTTCCAGTGTCTGAAGCTGAGATTTTGTAGAGTTCTCAACTCCTATAGGCTGTAGACTATAGGCCTGAATAAAACGAAAAAGTTTGACAGTGCATGGAGGACATATATCATGCAACAGGGAGCTACCAAAAATAATGTTTTAGGAAACTGAAAAGAAGCAATTTATTGAGGTAGATATTTCTGTGACCTGTGTTCCTTGACTAACGAGATAAACCTTTGCACGCTATGCTAATTTGAGCAAATATTCCCACCTGGAGGGGAAGGTTTGGTTTACAACCCCCTAATTCGTTGTTTTCTCTTTACTTTTCTCCTTACATCACTTTGCTTTCACGTTGAAAGACACTTAAGTACACAAAAGCTTGCAGCAAAAAAGGTTTTCCCAAAGTAAAATGAAATAAAATAATTTGGGAATAAAAGGTGGCTACCCAAACCGACCATTCAAATACTCGCACAAAAAACACACACTGGTGTTAACTGCTTTTTTGATCAAACGGTTAAATCAAAACTGAAGCCAGAATGCCGTGCGACCCCAGTGCCAGTTCTCACTGCCTCCATTTTTCTTTTGCCCACACGCCGCCCCACCCCCGCGCTACCCATTTTAGGGGGGCGTCCCACCCACCCGCAAATCCAGTACAACACCGCCCCCGCTAGTCTCCGGGGAAGACTTCCTTGCCACCCTCGCTCGACCTCTTACAACAAACAAAACATTCCATACAAGCCCTTGGTCTCCAAATACCTCAATTAACAGTATTTCCCACACCTCCCCGCTTTCAGCTAAAGATGGCTCTTTCTCACCAACCAGACCCCAGACTCACGACGCAGGGGTCGGCCTCGGTAGGAAAGAACGAAATCAAAGGGAAAAGGGAGCAGGGGGAGGGGAAGAAGCGTGAGGAACAGAAGGGGAAGCGAGGGAAAAAAAAAAACCACGCCGGAAGCAAGCCTGAGGTGCCGTTCCGGTCGCCGCGACGGTAGCCTGATGGGGTCAAACCCAAAGCCGCAGGGCTCCCTACAAAGGCTGCAAAACTCAGGGGCGTACGCATGCGTCAAGGAAAATCCTTCCAGGGCACACGTGAGAAACGACTGGCGGGTAAAGTGGGCGTGGCTTAGACACATTACAGAAAGGCTCCGCCTCTTCTACCACCCCAAAACTGGTGGTAGTAGTACTAAGTTTGTTGTGCAGAGGCTCAGTCGGCAAACCCTAAGGTTTAGAATTCTCCCTTGTACTTGAGTTTGTTGTGTTACATAAGTCGTACAAATTGTAATAAGTCGAGTTCTGTTCAGTCGCTCAGTCGTGTCCGACTTTGCGACCCTATGGACTGCAGCACTATAGGCTTCCCTGTCCATCACCAACTCCTGGAGCTTGCTCAAACTCATGTCCATCGTGTGGGTGATGCCACATCTCAGCCTCTGTCATACCCTTCTCCTCCTGCCTTCAGTCTTTCCCAGTATCAGGGTCTTTTCCAATGTCAGTTCTTCGCATCAGGTGGAAGGTGTAATATGAAAAACAGGAAAATATCTTCTCTCTCACCATCACTTAACCACCCCTGCTCCTTTGAGGTAAATCAACTTAGTGTTCTAGGCTTGTGTGTACAAGATCAAACATGGAGTTTTTGTTTCTGTTTTCACTTAACATGTGGACATTGCATGAAGTCAATTAAAAGTTTTCTTTTTGATAGTTGTGTAATACTTCATAATATGGTTAAATCATATTTAGACATTTGGATAGTGCTCAGTTTTTAGCCACAACAAAAATTCAACAAATATTAAGCGTCCTTTTGCAGTAGTACTTTTATTTCTGTGAAAGAAATCCCCCCAAATGGAATCTGAGTTGAAAAATATGTACTTTCCCCTATTTTTATCAGAATCTGCTATCAAATTACTTTTCAACAAGTTTGAAACAATTTTTACTTTCACTGTCAAATCTGTGAAAGTGTCTCTTTTCCCAGATCCTTATTAGGACTCTTTGTTAACTGTTTAATTTTTAAGAATTTGATATGTATTTAAATGATATCTGTGCCAGGATAGACTAGGCTATGTTGCGAAAACAACACCAAAAGTTTAAAACAAGAAGCATGTATTACTCGTTCACACCACATAATCAGCTCTAAAACCGTGACAGTGGCGTTCTGCTCAGGATAGCTACTCAGAAACCCAGACTGATGTGCCATCCTGCCATAAGGAGATATCACTAGGGGGTCTCACACTAGCAACTAGAATGACTCAACCTACTGGCTTGAATGAGGCCCTACCCAAACACAAGAGAGCCAGGAAGAACAATCATGTCTCATCTCCAGAAGGATGAAGAACCAGATGTGTTTGATGAATCAGCACTATTGACTGCCATGGAATCTCATTATTGCTTTAGTTCAATGAGCTCATTAAATAGTTTAATTTGTTCAGCAATCTTTACAGCAAGTGCTCCTAACTTCTTTTATTTTTTATTTTTTTTTTTACTTTCTTTTTTTTTTAAATTTAATTAATTAATTAATTAATTAATTTTTATCACAACCATAGTGTATCTTTTTTTTTTTTTTTTTTACATGTATTCCCCATCCCGGTCCCCCCTCCCACCTCCCTCTCCACCCAATCCCTCTGGGTCTTCCCAGTGCACCAGGCCCGAGCACTTGTCTCATGCACCCAACCTGGGCTGGTGAACTGTTTCACCCTAGATAATATACGTGTTTCAATGCTGTTCTCTTGAAACATCCCACCCTCGCCTTCTCCCAGAGTCCACAAGTCTGTTCTATACATAGGAGTCTCTTTTTCTGTTTTGCACATAGGGTTATCGTTACCATCTTTCTAAATTCCATATATATGTGTTAGTATACTGTAATGGTCTTTATCTTTCTGGCTTACTTCGCTCTGTATAATGGGCTCCAGTTTCATCCATCTCATTAGAACTGATTCAAATGAATTCTTTTCAATGGCTGAGTAATATTCCATGGTGTATATGTACCACAGCTTCCTCATCCATTCATCTGCTGATGGGCATCTAGGTTGCTTCCATGTCCTGGCTATTATAAACAGTGCTGCGATGAACATTGGGGTGCACGTGTCTCTTTCAGATCTGGTTTCCTCGGTGTGTATGCCCAGAAGTGGGATTGCTGGGTCATATGGCAGTTCTATTTCCAGCTTTTTAAGAAATCTCCACACTGTTTTCCATAGTGGCTGTACTAATTTGCATTCCCACCAACAGTGTAAGAGGGTTCCCTTTTCTCCACACCCTCTCCAGCATTTATTGCTTGTAGACTTTTGGATAGCAGCCATCCTGACTGGTGTGTAATGGTACCTCATTGTGGTTTTGATTTGCATTTCTCTGATAATGAGTGATGTTGAGCATCTTTTCATGTGTTTGTTAGCCATCTGTATGTCTTCCTTGGAGAAATGTCTGTTCAGTTCTTTGGCCCATTTTTTGATTGGGTCATTTATTTTTCTGGAGTTGAGCTGGAGGAGTTGCTTGTATATTTTTGAGATTAATCCTTTGTCTGTTGCTCCGTTTGCTATTATTTTCTCCCAATCTGAGGGCTGTCTTTTCACCTTGCTTATAGTTTCCTTTGTTGTGCAAAAGCTTTTAAGTTTCATTAGGTCCCATTTGTTTATTTTTGCTTTTATTTCTAAAATTCTGGGATGTGGGTCATAGAGGATCCTGCTGTGATTTATGTCGGAGAGTGTTTTGCCTATGTTCTCCTCTAGTAGTTTTATAGTTTCTGGTCTTACATTTAGATCTTTAATCCATCTTGAGTTTATTTTGGTGTATGGTGTTAGAAAGTGTTCTAGTTTCATTCTTTTACAGGTGGTTGACCAGTTTTCCCAACACCACTTGTTAAAGAGGTTGTCTTTTTTCCATTGTATATCCTTGCCTCCTTTGTCAAAGATAAGGTGACCATAGGTTCGTGGATTTATCTCTGGGCTTTCTATTCTGTTCCATTGATCTATATTTCTGTCTTTGTGCCAGTACCATACTGTCTTGATGACTGTGGCTTTGTAGTATAGTCTGAAGTCAGGCAGATTGATTCCTCCAGTTCCATTCTTCTTTCTCAGGATTACTTTGGCTATTCGAGGTTTTTTGTATTTCCATACAAATTGTGAAATTATTCGTTCTAGTTCTGTGAAAAATATCGTTGGTAGTTTGATAGGGATTGCATTGAATCTGTAGATCACTTTGGGTAGTATAGCCATTTTGACAATATTGATTCTTCCAATCCATGAACACGGTATATTTCTCCATCTGTTTGTGTCCTCTTTGATTTCTTTCATCAGTGTTCCTAACTTCTTTTAAAAAGTATAAGCCAACCTTCTCTCTCTCTCTCTCTTTTTTCTTTTTTTTGGTCATACTGCACCCATGTGGGATCTTAGTTCCCCAACCAAAGATCAAACCCATGCCTCTGCATTGGAAACACACTTTAAAATTTTTTTAATTTATTTTAATTGGAGGCTAATTACTTTATTGTAGTGGTTTCTGGCATACATTGACAGAAATCAGCCATGGGTATACATGTGTACCCCATCCTGAACCCCCCCTCCCACCTCCCTCCCCATCCCATCCCTCAGGGTTTGAGTGCCTGGCTCTGAGTGCCCTGTTTCATGCATCGAACTTGGACTGGTGATCTATTTCACATACGGTAATATACATGTTTCAATGCTATTCTCTCAAATCATCCCACCCTCGCCTTCTACAGAGTCCAAAAATCTGATCTTTATATCTCTTTTGCTGTCTTGCATATAGGGTCATCATTACCATCTTTCTAAATTCCATATATATGCATTAATATACTGTATTGGTGTTTTTCTTTGTGACTTACTTCACTCTGTGTAATAGGC